AGTCGTGTTGAAGTGGCTTTGGCTAGCTTAGTACTGCTGTGCTTTAACCCTTTGCGCCACCAGGGAGGGCCCAACTATCCACTTTTAACGACACCTTGATTCCCAAAACCAGTATTTACATTTTTGTGTAAGACATCATTCATTCAGCATTAAGTTTTTGAGATATTCATCTTGTGGAATGTATCAGTAGTTTATTGCATTTTATCGTTATTGGTATCTATTGCATGAAAATAGCTGTTTGCTTATTCTATGATAAACACTTTGACTATCTCAAGATTTTGGTTATTATGAATAGACATCTGAAGAGTATACTTATTAACACTATATACATAGTGTATATATATATACATAGTGCATATATAATATATATATTTTCATATTTTCAAATATCTGGACTTAGGGTTTTTGTTTGTAAATAGGTATATGTTTAATTGGCAAAGAAATTGTCATATCTTTGCCTAAAGTAATTGTACCATTTTGCATTTCCTCCAGCAATATTTGAGAGTTTTAGTTGCTCTATATTTTTTATCACTTGGGATTGTCAATCTTTTTAATTTTAGTTATTGCGGTAGATATATAATGGAACATATGACTTTTAAAAGCATTCATTCTATATTTCATGCATAGATATTCTAGATTTCTGTAAATTTATCACTGGAAGCATGAAAGATGGGGGATACCTTTAAAAGATAGGGTTTACGGGTCCCTCCCTGGTGGTGTAGTAGGTTAAAGTGCAGCACTTAGAGGCTAAAGCCACTTCAGCATGAGTTCGATCCCCACCCCGGAGGTGAGCCACATGGTGTGGCAGACTTCTCCTGACCTGCCCGCTGCTCCCCTCAGCAGTGTTCTTCAGTTCTACCTATTTTCTCCCCACTCTGTGTCTGGTGAATCTTTTCACCACCCCTCTACCCTGCACCTCTGGCCTGTACCCCTCCTCTGTGTGCACAAATAAATCTTTAAAAAAATAAAAGATAGGCTTTATGACAATAGGTATTATGAACACAGCACATAACAAGAGCTTAATGCTTGCTGAGTGACATGAATGAACAGATTAATGGTTATGCATACTTAGATTTACTGACAAGACTCTCTATGAGCACATCTGTGAAACCACTTCTAGACTCTTCCCTATTGTGGTGCCAGTTGCTTTTCATTTACTGATGCACTAGGCTTTTTGTTGCTCTGCTGTGTAATTTTTTTTAAAAAGATGTATTTATTTATGCATACAGAACTGGGGTATAGGCCAGAGGTTCAGGGGCAGTGAGAGGATTCACCAGAGACAGAGTGGGGAGCAAAACAGGCAGATCAATGAAATATACTGCTTAAGGGAGCAGTGGGTGGGCAAGGAGAGGTCTGCCACACCATGTGGATCACCTCCAAGGCCGGGGATTGGACTTGTGCTGAAGCGGTTTTAGCTTCTTAGTGCTGTGCTTTAACCTGCTGCGCTCCCAGGGAGGGCCCTTTGCTATGTAATTGGAACATCCAAAGTCTATCTACTCCATCGTGGAAAGACCAGAGACTGTGAAGCCAGAGTAAACACTTTCATCTAATTAGGTCTTATCTTTGTGTGAAGTGGGTAATTGATCCTAAAAGTCTTTAGCACTGAGATATAATAACTTCTGATTCCTTCTCTATCCCATCCAAAGTACAATTTCCATGACAGTCTTGCCAACATTTTTACTGTTTCCTTTGAGGAGCTATTTATTAAGCCTTAGGGCTACAAGTCTGCTAAAGGTTTGCACTGATTGGGAAAGTTTTTACATCAGAAAATAAGTAAATTTGGGTATATATGGAAAAGGTACATTGGGAAGAGTTCTGGGAGCCCAATAACCTTAACTACTATTTTCTTTATAAGTTAAGCCTTTTCCTTTGTTAAATTTCACTGTCAAATGAAGGATGCCATCTACTTAATATAAGTGAAAATGACTTCCTGTCCTCTATTGAGATGAATAGACATTGCTATTCTGGTGAGGATTAATGGAATAGTAATAAACTTGACTCTTATTTTAAACATTCACAATGCTGCACTTGTGCCCGACAATTTTCTACATACTTCTAGCCAGGGCAAAGTTTACAAATCCAATGGCTTCATAAGTAACCTTCAATTTATAGGTCATCAGAAAGCACCACAAAGGTTAAATGAGAAATACTTTAAGCCTATAAGGTTGAAGGGTAATATTAAGTAATAGAAGGGGCAGGTAATATTTAAAAGCTCTGGGGAAGATGCAAGTATATTAATAACTGCCATATACCAATTATCTTAAAAATATGTAAAAATGCTGCCTTTCAAAAGACTTTCTTTATAAAGATGGTAACCTATGTCCCTGACTGTTGGTAACTGGATTATTAAAGTTTTACTTTTAGGCTTGTAGAGTGGTGCTGATGGGATAATGCTCATCTTTATCATCAGAGAATGCAGGAAATATAGTCAGTGGTGAGAAGTGCATTGAAGTTTGCTTTTGGGCCTAGGAATGATGATATATTGTGTAATCTTTCCATGAGTAACTAAAAAGAATGGGTGGTTTATAATTGCTTGGTGCAAGGTTCTAGTTGTATCCTTTAAATTAAGCTTGTTAATTGGGTTTCCAAACCTTTTATATCTTTCCTAATGGCTTTTGGCTGCTTGATCAATCGATAATGATGCTTGACATTGTACATATTGATGGTGTATTTGCCAATATCTCCTCCTCCCATTAATTTTTGCCTTATGAATTTTGTTAATTATTATAATTATTTTATTAGCTAAATGCAAATGTAGAATTGATATATCTTTATGGCTAATTAAAATTTTACAATTATATTGTGACCTTCCTTTTCCCTGGAATGAATTTTACTTTAATGCTTATTTTGCCTAATATTAATTAACTCTCTTTTAATGGGTGAATTCAATCATGTTAATTTTTTGTGCCATGTGGGAAGTGACCCATATGGCACAGCAGACCTTTCCTGTCTCACTTGCTGTTCCCCTCAGCAGTGCACTTCTTTGATCTGCCTGTTCTGCTCCCCTCTCTGTCTCTGGTGAATCCTCTCACTGTCCCTGTCCCCCAGTTCTGTATGCATAAATAAATAAATCTTTAAAAATAATAAGATATTATAGATTTACCATTGGTTTACAACACCATATAAATTTTTGGAGAACAGCTTCCCATCTTGCTCTGTGTCTGTGCCTCAGACACCCACCAATGACATTGTAGTGCTACTCACATTATCAGTTGACCTACTCTACCTATTATTTTGAATCCCTTTTTTTCCCCTCTGGTAACCACCATATTTTTCAGAGCCTAAGTTACTTTTGGTTGCACAACTTCCTTTCTCTTTTTTTGTGCTTTTTAACTGATTAAGAAGTTCCTATTTCTGTTCATTAGTGGTTATCTGACCTCTCCATCCAGCTTTCGTATATACTTTTCTTTAGCCTTTGGAGATTCTTCTTATTTTCCACAGATATCAGCAATAATTGAAAACTGTTGTAATTTATCTGGCAATGTACCTTGTAACGAGTAATTACAAGTAATTTTACAACAAAAATTACAAGTAATTTATCTTGTATTTTAGAGAGGGGGTACTTTGGAAATCTGGTCTGCACTGCAGCTGAATTAGAAGCATAAACTATTAGTACACTTTATGTTTATTATGGATAGAAGCTGATTTTTTTTTTTTGTGTAATACAGACCTGGTCATTCTTTTCTTTTTTCCTTACTCCCTTCCACTTTTTCTTCCTGCCTTCTTTAAATAACCATTTAAATAAGCAAAGATAGTGTGTCCATTATATACATAATCATGTTCTTGGCACTGAAAAACAAGATCTAGTTCCAAGATTACTGCAAAGAGGTATTCAGATATGAAAAGAGAAACAGCTCCGCCTTTTTGGAAGTCATTCTGAAGCAATCCTGCATTATTAATTTATAAAAATGGTTATCAGATTCAAGCATCTAATGACACAAGACTGCACATTCATGTTTAAGTTATATTTAAATAGTTGACATCTTCCTCAGTTTTCTATATAAATTGGTTACTTACATTAAACTAAATGTATACTTAAGGCAATCTGCATTCTGAAGAGAATTACTTTGAGATTTGGCTATAAAGTTTACAGAATTAGATTTCACATGTTTAATGTGCATTTGTGTATGAGATGGTGTATGTATATATTTTCCCAATCAGTAAGAACTGTGACCTAAAATTTTAAAAATCACCTCTGGTTGAAAGTTCAGAAGTGGTGTTATAATCCCTTATCACACTCTACTCCTTTTGTAAGCCATCTTCATTCTCTGTTCTGTCCTATAATCACCTTCTTTCCCAAAGCTGCTAAGATTTGTCCTTCAAAGTAATGTTAGGTCCTGCCGTTTTCCACCAAGGACATTGCCTTATAACATGCCTATTATGAATTCAATGGAGCAGAAAGTTAGTGCATTTATTTATGCTACATTCTTGTATCCACCAAAAAGAAATTTCATGTTTAATAATTAGTTACCATTGTCGAATCCTCATTCTATTTCACTTAATTTTTCAAATCTTTTTTTCTTTGGATATTTTCCATATCAAATTGTCAAATTGAAGTTATGATTCTCATTATTCTGTGTTTAATTGAGTTAGTTGTTATAGCTGGCTCACAAACCCATAAAACTCTTCAGTGGTAAACTAATTAGCCACTGCACCTGCCCTCCAAATAATTAACATTGTTTATTACTAACAATCGATAATCGAGTTTTAAAAAGTTACCTTAGTGCTCAGTTGTTTAAAGCAGAGGCTTAAACCTTTTTTTTTTTTTTTT